TTAACCCAGCAGAAAGAACACTTTTGCACTTCCACCAAGACTGGGAGGGATGGACTAACTAATCCAGGAGATTGCTGACTTGAACATCAAAATTCACTAAGCTCACGGCAGCCTCACTGACCACATAATAGCCCAGAATGCAACAGGAAGTGGACACCGAAGCTAATAAGATCCGTAGGTCCATTACAACAGATCGGCAGCACTGCCAAATGACATGTTGCAGCAACTATTGCTGCAGGTTCCAGAAAATTTGACAAAAAAGTAGCTATAGCGCAGGAGGTGGGCGCTCGAACTGGTTAACTACGTTACCGATAAGGGCAAATGGTTTCAGCCTAACAAACAAGAATTTACAGATGCCATTGCTCTAAGGTACGGTTGGCCAGTAGATGGTTTGCCTCCCAATGCGTGGTGGTTTTCCTATGATGGCGATCACGCCATGGTCTGCAAGAAGGGGGGCTTATATGCATGAGGCATGACGAGGTAAGGGATCTCACAGCAAATATGTTGAAGGAAATATGCCGGACGTCATGGTAGAACCGACCCTCCTTCCACTGGATGGCGAGATCTTCCAACACAGGACTTCAAACACATCTAACGAAGCCGCGTGGACGCCAGTGCTCGAGGATTCTGGACGCTGGGACACAGCTTTCCGACATCAGGATTTTTGATCCCATGGCCGTTTGTCACCGAACCAGCTCTCGATGCTGCGATAGGAGGAACGAGAACGACAAGAGAAGGGCATATGGGGAGAGAATTCAAAATGTTGATCAAGGCAGCTTCACCCTCTAGTGTTCACAACCCTGGTGGATGTGGGCCCAAGTGCAAGATGTTTCTACGCCAGACTCGCGGAGCTGATCTCCGAACAGAAGCAGCAGCCCAGTTGTGTTACAGCCTGGATGAGATGTCGACTGTTCTCTTCTCCTTCGGTCGGCTTTGCTCTGCCTCAGGGAATCTCCCTACCCGACAACTGCTGCATATTGACTATGAGGCTAAAGTCACTGAATGCCGCATAGATCTGCGGCTCAACTAATTTAACACAGATAGATAGTTTCATGTATTAGGATATTTAATATTAAGGTAAATAAATGGTTGGCGAAGGTGTGGTTATTGGGGGAGGCTGGAGGCCACGTTTAAAAAAAAAAAAAAAAAAAAAAAAAGTAGTAGTAGTGTGTGGTCGTGGTTGTCGTCGTGTTTTTAGTCATTAGTACACGCTGATTGTCAAGAGCGAGTCATGTAAAGTGAATCAGACAGATTTCGTGACGCCGAGTGAAATTAATATTACGCTAATGTTATTTTCTTCCTTCTTTCTGTGTGTGTATGTGTATGTGTGTGTGTGTGTGTGTGTGTGTGTGTGTATGTGTGTGTGTGTGTATGTGTGTGTATACGGCAAAATACCATAATTATTAAAGACATGTAGATATAATATTAAGTGTTTATATGACTGAACCTCGACTAGATGTAATAGTGGTGAGGCTGATGTGATTGGCCCTCTGCTGGTCCAGTTCTCTCTGATTGCCCAGGGGAGCTCTGATTGATGGTGGGTTACCTGGGGGGCTAGGAGTGAGGGGTTGGTAGGAGGAGGAAGGAGGTAGGGAATGATGTAGCTAGTCCTCTAGGATGTGTTGAGTAATACCACCTTCCTTCCTTCCTTCCTTCCTTCCTTCCTTCTACTTAACCACACACACACTTCTTACTTACTTACGTCTACACATCCTTTTACTTTTACCACATACATACATACATACATACATACATACATACATACAGTACATACATACATACATACATACATACATCTTCCTCCACTATTACACACACACACACACACACACACACTTTGAACTCGAGCTCGGGTACAAACTCGTCATGTATAAATCAACTGGCCACACTATTCAGCCCCACATGCCCTAACCTACCTCAACCTAACCTAACCAAACCTAACCTGACTTAACCCAACCTAACTTTAACTTAACCTATCTCAACTTTATTAACCTTAACCCAACCTAACATAACCCAAACTTGACATACCTTAACGTAATCGAATCGACCTTAACCTAACCTAATCCAACGCCCTTATCCACATCTTATCCATCTACACTTACCTTAACCTCACACCACCTACCTATCTACCTCATCCACCTATTTATCCACCTACCTATCCACCTACCTACCCGTCCTACACCTAACCAAAGCTAATTCCAATAACACAACAAAATCCAGGTCATGCCTCTATTAAACCAATCATACTCAATGGTGTCAGGATAATGGTGTTCCCTAATACATTACAGTAGCTAGTGGTAATAATGACAAGAGGTTAAATACGGGTTACGTAAAAAACGATGATTTCGGGGTTTTATTACCGATCTGTGGCCGAATGTAATGTAATAATGCGGTGTTGCCAATAATGATGATGATGACGGTGTGTTGCTATAATGATGATGATGACGGAGTGTTGCTATAATGATGATGATGATGGTGTGTGTTGCTATAATGATAATGATGACGGATTTTTGCCAATAATGATGATGACGGATTTTTGCCAATAATGATGATGATGATGGTGTGTTGCTATAATGATGATGATGACGGTGTGTTGCTATAATGATGATGATGACGGAGTGTTGCTATAATGATGATGATGATGGTGTGTTGCTATAATGATGATGATGATGACGGTGTTGCTATAATGATGATGATGACGGTGTGTTGCCAATAATGATGATGATGATGGTGTGTTGCTATAATGATGATGATGATGATGACGGTGTGTTGCTATAATGATAATGATGACGGAGTGTTGCTATAATGATGAAGACGAGTTGTTGCTATAATGATGATGATGGAGTGTTGCTATAATGATAATGATGACGGAGTGTTGCTATAATGTTGATGACGAAGTGTTTCCAATAATAATGATGATGAAGTGTTGCTATAATGTTACGGTGGTGCTTCAGCCATAACACAAACTTAGAACAACAACAACAACATCACCAACGCCACAACATTTCGTAAAAAAAAAAAAAATACAATTATATAAAAAGGTTTAATAACGATTTAAAAAAAAACTCCAGTGACACAAAAAAAGTTCCTAAATATCGTCACAAAAATGCTTCATCCAAAAAAAAATAAAAAATCGAAAAATAACAGATTCAAACAGCAAGCAGAATCAAACTCAGGCAAGCGAGCAAGACAGACAGACAGACAGACACACACACACACACACGCAGGCCACACACCACCACTCTTGCCTCCTCCAAATGCGAAACACATATTAGATGTATGCTATTGTAATGGTAATCTACACACACACACACACACACACACACACACACACACACACACACACACACACACACACACACACACACACACACACGTACGTACAGTATTTGATGTATTTCTGCCAGGTTTGTAATAACAGTATATGCAGATAAACCGTGACGAGGAGGGGTGGGGTGGGTGGGTGGGGTGGGGGAGGAGGGAGAGGTGGGGAGGAGGGGTGGGGTGGAGGAGGGGTGGGGTTGGGGGTGGGGGGTGGGGTGGAGGGGTGGGGTGGGTGGGGTGGGGTGGGGTGGGTGGGGTGAGGTGGGGTGGGGTGAGGAGGGGTGGGGTGAGGTGGGATTGCGCTGAAGGCTGAAGCGAGCGCGGCCATCCCCCGTATTCCCTGATTCTCGAGCCCTGGATACAATAATCATTTCTGACCATAGTACTGCACATAGATCACGCGCGACGATTCATTCCACCGACTAGGCATGAAGTGTTCTGGTCCTTTCTCTGGTCGTTTGTCTGGTCGTTTCCCTGGTCGTTCCCCTGGTCGTTTCCCTGGTCGTTCCACTAGCCATTCCCCTGGTCGTTTCCCTGGTCGTTCCACTAGCCATTCCCCTGGTCGTTTCCCTGGTCGTTCCACTAGCCATTCCCCTGGTCGTTTCCCTGGTCGTTTCTGTAGCCATTCCTCTCGTCGTTCCACTAGCCATTCCCCTTGTCGTTCCCCTGGTCATTCCCTCAGCTGACAAACGACCAGGCTGTCGACCGCGGTGGATTGTTTTCAATTAGTCGTTTTGTTTTCTATTCCTCTTCGTGTGATGTTTTAAAAAGGTTTTCATTTACATATTTTGTGAACTTGGGTGGTGATGAAGGTGAGTGTGTGGTGGTGATGGGAGTGTAAAGTGTGTGGTGGTGAAGGTGAGTGTGTGGTGGTGATGAGAGTGTAAAGTGTGTGGTGGTGAAGGTGAGTGTGTGGTGGTGAGTGAAAGGTGAGTGTGTGGTGGGTGAAGGTGAGTGTGTGGTGGTAGGGGTGAGTGTGTGGGTGATGAAGGTGAGTGTAAAGTGTGTGGTGTGGTAGATGTGGGTGAAGAGAAGTGATGAGGTAAAGTGATGTGAGGTGTGTGGTGGTGATGAGAGAAGTGTGTGGTGGTGAAGTGAGGAAGTGTGTGGTGGTGTGAGAGTGTAAAGTGTGTGGTGGTGATGAGAGTGAGGTGAGTGTAAAGTGTGGTGGTGATGAGAGTGTAAAGTGTGGTGGTGAAGGTGAGTGTAAAGGTGTGTGGTGAGTGTAAAGTGAAGTGTGTGTGGTGTGAGAGTGTAAAGTGTGTGGTGGTGAATGTGAGTGTAAAGGTGTGGTGAAGGTGTAAAGTGTGTGGTGGTGAAGAGTGTGTGTGTGTGGTGGTGAAGGAGGAAAGTGTGTGGTGGTGAAGGTGAGTGTAAAGTGTGTGGTGGTGAAGGTGAGGTAAAGTGTGTGGTGGTGAAGGTGAGTATAAAGTGTGGTGGTGAAGGTGAGTATAAAGTGTGTGGTGGTGAAGGTGAGGGAAGTGTGTGTGTGTGGTGGTGAAGGTGAGGTAAAGTGTGTGGTGGTGAAGGTGAGGTAAAGCGTGTGGTGGCGAAGGTGGTGTAAA